TTATTCCTAAATTTAGAATAAATTTAAAAATTCTTTCATGTTTCAATCTAGAAGTGTGTGTTTTTTATTAAAAAAAATAGGATAGATCTGGCATTTTTGGTATTCCGAACATATTTTTTTTTTCAAAACGGAAGGGTACTGGATACCTTATCAACTCATCATTATAAGCAATGATCGAGGTTCATCAATCCCGATCGTTAGTAGTGATAATGTTACGACAAAGTATACATATTACAAGAGGGGAAGGGAGGTTCCAAAGAGGGACATTCTAAGTCAAAAAACAAACATAAACTGAAACATGTAGGTGTATTTCTATTTGTATCCATCTAATGATTTAAGCCTTTTTTTAACTGCTTTTTATAGTTCGTTTTTATGTTGTACTGTTACACCACTGTCCCAGGTTATGAGGAGAGTTGGGATCCCGCTAACATGTTTAACCCCGACTCATTATGTATGAATGTGCCTTTCCCAAGTCAGGAGCCTGTGATTAGGTGGTTGTCGTTTGTTGATGTGTTATATATGTGTTTTTCGTTAATTTTTTGTACATAAATTAGGCCGTTAGTTTTCTCGTTTGAATTGTTTTTTACATTTGTCATTTCGAGGCCTTTTATAGCTGACTATACGGTATGGGCTTTGCTCATTGTTGAAGGCCGTACGTTGACCTATGTGGTAACACCACGGCCAAAATAGAAAAACAATAACAATAACAATAAACAAAACACATCATAGAAGTCTAAATACTAAACCCAATGTTCTGATGTGCTCTGGAAAGGTTAGCAGATCCTGCTGCACGCATTGTGTTCTCATTCGGTGATAAGTTTATACGAAAGGTCGTATTCGGAGAAAGGGGACAAAGAAATATAAGCCAGTTTGAAAGTTGGTTTCCTTTTTTGCAAACAGATACTGTAGTAGATATAAATTAGTAAGATAAACAAATACTGATATTATGATTCATTAGAAACCTGTGTGATATGTAATGTAAGACCTTTCCATGAACGGAGCAGACAACAAGATATATGTTCGTTCGAAATGCTTTTCAACTGTCGTTTTGCGAGTAACGGGATGTAAACAACCGATATTTTAAATTTTTGTCCACTATACAAACTGATTTGTGAGTTACAAATCGAAAGAAGATAGGTGAACAGGTGAGGTTTAGAACAAATCATCATTAAACTTCAGTTTCATAAAATTTCATTCTTATTAGAAATGTCAATGTTAATCATTTCAATATATTCCTCATTCCCAACAATCAAATTTGAAAGACGAAAGTTCATTTATTTAACACAGCAACGAACGACAACAACTGAATTGCAGGCTCCCGACTTATGACAGACACGTAAAGAATGTGACGGTGTTAAACTAGTTTGTACATACCCACCCCCCCCCCCCCCCCCCCTGATAATTGGAAAGTTGATATGTTTACGTTCGTCATAGATTCTAATTATTTTTTTCGGACTGCGTCAATTTGTAGGAAATGACGATTTAAGGCAGATATTCTACTTTTGGTTGTATCCTTATTTAAAAGTTGGCTACGATATATGAGATTCAAACACTCACTATAATGAAAACAAATATCAAATGCAAATATTTAAAACAACATTTTAACTAAGCCAGAAAAAAATGACAATCACACAATTAGTTAGAGAGACACAGGTACAAATCATGAACACTGTACACTATATAGAATAACGCGCATTCATAAACTTCAATACACCTTCATTATTTGTTGAATTAAGCAGAGAACAAAATTAAGGGGTACATGTAAAAAATGGTAAAACAATAAAATTATGCACAAAACGATGCCTTTTATTTTGATGCTCGTTATTTTGCCTTCATGTATACGCATTGCAAAACATCATGATATTTTCAACCTATGCTTTCTTACCGTTTTAAGATTTCTGTGTTCTAATCCATACCACATTTTGTTTATAATATTCCTCACTTCTTTGTTGTCCAGAAACGTTCTGTTCTGTGTCTTTATAGCGTCTTCGATGTACCCATGATTTAGTAACAGTCTGCCAGCATGGTTGATATGTTCACCCAATTCCATTTCCTCCTTACTATTCGACTCTACCTCTTTTCCAGTAGGTTTATTCCGTTTCGGTTTATCGTTTTCAGATTTCTTGTCAGTCTCATATATAGACTCTAAAATGCGAGATGCCCTCTGCGTGAAGGCCCTAAAAACAACGATTTTGAAATAACATGAGAAAATACAATAGATAATATCATAATATTGACTACTGTACCCGAATTTTTGACATTTTTATTTATTATGTCTGTTTGATTTTCTGCCATATTGTTGGCAATACAATTTCATATCAGTGAGAGGTTTAGCTAGCTTTATAACCAGGTGTTATCTACAATTTCCTACATAAAGAATTGCATGTACCAAGTCAGGAATATGACATTTGTATTCTATGTGTTTGATGTGTTTGAGCTTTTGATTGAGTCATATAAAAAGAACTCTCCGTTTTGAATTTTCCTTGGAGTTCGGCATTTTTTTTATTTTAAGAACATTGCTACGTTGAGAAACAGGATTAGAATGCAATTGTTATTATACTATATAAGATGCAGTACCGATGCAGTGCTTATAAAAAAAGAACATTTAGATTGTCTCTAAATTATTAGTTTTCAGAAGACAAGATCTGAAATATTTATAGAAAATTAAATTTTAAAGTTGAACTCATTTAATACCTTCTAAGTGCCAAAGAAAATAGCTATTCTGAATTGTGTTTAAATTTTGGTTGAAACAATATGTATGCAAATGAATAAGAACATAATGTTTTGAAACCAGTTTAGATATTATTATAGAATATTGCATATATAGTATGTATATCATTTAGAAAAGTTAAAAAAAAACTGATAATATGTATATCATGTATATAGCTCATTTCAATATGTCCGAACCTCGGTCTCTTTAGTAGCAGCATATGGTTTGCAAACAGATGACACCGAAAGTGACCCTTTTAAATCGAAAGTAGAAAGTTATCTTTTTACGGGATGACTTTTAGAAAAACCTATAATCTAGGGAGAAACGAAGTGTTAACTATTATTTGATTTAACCTATAGTAGCTAATATATCCCTTATTCATAGATGTGTTGTTATAAATAATTGATAAGATTTTTCTTAGACCTACCTTTTTTTCTATTTTGTAACAAAAAACTTATATAGTTATACAAGGTAATTCAACGTTAGCTATAAAAAAAATGCGAATTTGTAAGGAGATACTGATTTCTGATTTCTTGATGATTTTTAATTATAAATATTATTGATATGATTTGTAACTACAAATATATTTTTGTTTGATATAGTTTTGTCACTCTTTTTGTTGTTGCTTTTGTACACTTTTGTAACATACACACACATTAGTGCTTACACGTGTTTGTAAGAAAGGGATGTGTTATACTCTGATACGGTATTGCTTTACGTCAAAGTTAACAGATCTTCTAAAACAGTAACTTCAAGTTCACCGTTAAAGGGACGAAAATTCGTGAAATCTTCAGCCAAATCATTATAAAAATCTTAAATGTCATTATTCAATGATTACTTATTCAATCTTCTAAGCCTGTCTTGCACTAGAGGAGCAGTTTGCCAACTGTTCGCAGTATTTTCTAATATAACGCATCCAACAAGAATATGATGGATTCGAATCTACAATCAAATAAAAAAATGTATAACAGTAGAAACAATTGAAGACGGTTACACTTAAGCATGTAGCTTACTATAAAACAACACTAGATTGTTAGGTTTAATATTTTTGTCTGACAATCAAGAATCTATGTGAACCTTAAAGGAGCTTTCTTCAAACGAAATTTGTTCTGACTTTAATTAATAAACACGATTTTTATCTATGTACCAAAGTACTGACAACTGCTTGAAGGAAAACACCAAGGATCATTGTAATGCAGTATAATGAACCAAGAAACAAAACAATATATATTATACAAAACAAAACAGACACAATAACTATATTCTATATGCATATATAAAAACAGAGAGTCGTGGTATGATTAAAGATAAGACTACTAACCAAATTATGACCAAAGGGCAATTATAAGAACGGACGAAGGTTACCGTATGATCTTTATCCATTAGCAAAACTCATACAAAAAACTGTAGCAGTAAGAATGTTTATTTCTTTATGAAATAAATATAGTATTACACGGTTTTTTATTTGCTTTGAATCACATTGATTAACGAAAGCTCATCCATGACCTCCCAAAACTAAATGTTCAATTTGAGATCACGATTTTGAAAAATCCTGACATGACATTGAATCATATTTGATAAACACAGATACCATTAGTCATGTAAACGATTATAAATCGTTTAAACTGCTGGTGACACATTTTCTCGTGAGAACGAATGTGTGGGTTATCCGTGACATTATTACTTGTGATGACTGATTTAATACGCTATTAAGAAATTTGGGGATTTTGATGACAAATTTTAGAATTCGCTACCATAATGCTTAATCATAAATTAAAAATAAGTTCATAATCAACCAGAACCTCTAAGGTGCCTGCAACTACTGACAAGGTGTCATAAATTTGCATTAATGGTTAAAAGCAGCAAATATTGATTTAGGAAGGCGGTCAATCGCATTGAGTGTTTTTCTACGGATTACAAAGAATCCGTTGTCTTTAATTTAATTTATATCTGCCATCTTGGTTGAGCAATTACGGTCATCAGATGTAAATCTGAGGAGAGACGATATAAGAAACCATTCTATGATTATTGATGTCAATTTGTTCTTTTGTTTTTAGTAACATATACGGCGGTTACCATGTTTGATATGAATCGGGTTCATCTACCAAAATTCTGAACTTTATCCGTTATCTGCAATCATCGGAATCAAAGAAATAAAAAAAATAATCAACGAAATACAAACTCTGTGATCAAGTCATCCTCGAATAGGTCATACTGAAATAAATTAGTAATAAAATAAATATGAAATGTGGGATAAGAAATGTAATCCGTATATAACTATCCAAATTATTTAAGATGTTTCAAAAGTGATGTTCTTGTTAATAGCATTCATTTGATTCTGCAAACACTGCAAATATTAGAAAAAAATTGTTGGTAGCCTGTAAAATTGACATCTCATTGTAACGCTGTGTTTATGAATAACATTATGTATATATCATTGCACTTGGTTTCAATGCAATATGATATCGATAAAGTGAATACAATTCTTAATCATCTTATCGCCGTTTGAAGACAAAACTAGTAGTATTATTGTACGCATACACATGTTACTTACGCATCCAGTTTCAATTAACTGTTTGGCTCCATTCCAATACTGTTTTTGTAAAAGGGCCAAAAATATAAGCCCGTACAATTCAGATATTGACACATTCAGTTCTTTTGCTGCAAAATAAATTTCCTTCATTATGTATAAACCTGTATATTACATTGTGACATCGATTTCCTCAAACAGTGGAAAAAACGTAAAAAAATGTAAATAGAAATAAGAAGATGTGGTATGAATGCCAATGAGATTACTCTCTATCCAAGTTCCACGGTGTACAAAATAAACAATTATAGGTAAAAGTACGGCCTTCAACACAGAGCCTTGGCTTACACCGAACAGCAAGCTATGAAGAGCCCAAAAATGACTAGTGTAAAATAATTTAAACAGGAAAACCAACGGTTTAATCTATATAAACAAAAACGAGAAAAGAGAAACAATTATGAACCAAATCCAAAAACGACAACCACTAAAAAACAAGTTCCTGACTGAGGACAGGTACAAACAAATGCAACCGGTTTGAACGTTTTAGCAGGCTCCAACCGTCACCTTAACTTGAAATAGTGTTACATTAAAACATAGAAAGACAGACTATAAAATATTAATTGAAATGGTTTAACTCAATCAAAGAAAAACAAGTAAACATTCACTGAACGAATAAATTTGATCTATGAGTGATTATGACACAATATGAATACAATTTTAAATAAAAAAGAGAGAAGCAAAACAATGTCAAAAAGACAATTATAACCTTGAACAAAATGGCGTTAAATAAAATAACGTACACAGGTAAATTTTATAATAATTATGTTGTAAGGAGTAAGGGAATATTTTTACAAATAAAGTTGTAGTTCATAGTACGAGAACAGAAGTGAAATTGTATAGTCATACTAAATACTTATCAAAAGTGGTACATATTAAAAATAGTGAGATGAGATATAACACAAAATAGGTAAACGTTGAATAACAAACTTGCATTACAAATTGTGTAAAGATTGACAAAGAGGAAAATAAAAAGATCAAGATGTACATGTATTCACCTCTATTAAGGCCTCTCATCGGTAATTTCAAACGATTAATTTGATTAATTTGCGTAGTTTGGTAAGATTTGCAATCATGTCATAGTTGGACCTAACGGTTAACATAACAAATACGCCTAAAATACTAACTGGACAATTCCGATATTGAGTTTGGTTTGTTGAGAACGACGATGAGGGTGGTTTTTAACGAACTTGAGTATCCATTAGGATGAAAATGCTGGAAATATCGATTATGATAGAGATTATCAAAATTTTATATTTTCAATTATCTGGTTTTTATTCAATCAAATATGTGTGTGGGTGTGTGGGTGTTGCAGCCTTTAGCTCATAGCCAAATATGGCATGGCGCTCTCACGTGGAATTTGAATTTTGGAATTCCCGTATCGGGCACTTGTTAATTTGCTGTCGACGACGAAGCATGTGCTGCAGAAAATTGTTTAATTATCTAAAAACTAAAAGATGCCAAACAAAAGAAATGCCAGGGGATCGCCATCAAGGGTCATTGGAAAGAAGGGGAAGACGACCAGCAGGAAAGAAGGATAGTGAGTTCGGAACGCAGACATCACTCAAAAGAAAGACGGAGCGAGGGACGAAATTGGACGCAAACGAATGGTCAGGAAAAGACAGGAGGTGAAACACGTGGAAACACAAGGACGAGAAGAAAATGCTGAAATATCATCAGATAATGAGTCGGAGGAGGATGTAAGGGCATTCTCCCTTTTAGGCACGACCCGTCACACACAAATTTTGAAATGGCAAATAATTCAATTGATTGCACTCCGACACAAAAGGCTAGCATTCATGACAAAGTGGGGGAACACGTGCCTTTTAAAATTAAGGAAAGATTGGGGAGGGAAAGTTTATTGAGCTACATTATCTTTTGAGAACGCAAAAAGAAATGGAGGAGGTTGACGATTTGAAATTAAAAAGGGGGAAAATTTGCATTGAAAAAAGATCGTCGGGTGTTTATTTGTTCATAAATGAATGGACTTCAGCAGTCATGGTGTTTATGAGTGTTTACATTGAGAAATACAGGACTCGGGCACAGGAATTATTTAAACATATGCGCGATATACGATTAGCGGCAACGAAGTCAGAAAACTGGGCTACCTATGACCAGCAATTTAGGCTAAATATAGGAAAGAATCTAAATTTTTCCTGGGGAAACATACACGGTGAATATTGGCTATTACACATCACATCTCCCTTAGTACAAAACAATGTACCAGTGCAATCACAGGGTTATAGAACAAATACACAAATTCGTGGTAATTATAACTCCAATGCAGCTACGAATTCAAACACTTACACGAGAACACATCAGAAATCACAAGTAACTAGTGGTAGTGCAAATATGTCATGTAAATGCTATAATTATTTATGACTGTTCCTACTTTTCTCGTTGTAGGTTTAAACATGTTTGTGAAATATGCAGTGGAAAACAGAGAAAGGCCCAATGTAATAACCGGGCCCAAGGAAGAAGTAACAAAAGGTATTAATTTTTATTCATTAGCAAATACTCCTGTTAAAGTATCTGTCTTAGAAAATTATTTAGAATTTTACCCACATAACAATGTAGAAAATGAAATTATATCTGGTTTCAAATATGGTTTTTCATTCAAATATTTTGGCTCTAGGAAACCAAGGGAGAATTCCGATTTAAAAAAGTGCAATACAGCTACCCAACATTTTCAAAGAAAAATTAATGAAGGAAGTTAAACTTGGTCAAATTACTGGTCCTTTCAGATCCCCGCCTTTTGCCACACTTCAGGTATCACCAATGGGGCTAGTGCCAAAAAAGGATGGGGATTTTAGACTTATTCAACATTTATCCTATCCTGAAAATAATTCAATTAATGATTTTATTGATAAAGATCATTGTTCAGTGCAGTACAGTTCAGTGGACGAAGCAGCATGTTTGATTAATAGACACAAAACGTTTGCCCGTTTAAGTCAGTGTGATGTAAAGGCGGCTTTTCGCTTATTGCCCCGCTGGATTTTGACTTGTTAGGGATAAAATTTCAGGGTGAATATTATCTTAATAAAATGCTGCCAATGGGGGGCCTCAATAAGTTGTGCCTATTGGTAGAAACTTGTAAAAGCTTTGCATTGGATAATACAGCACAAAAGTGGAAATAATAATATCCTCCATTATTTAGATGATTTTCTATTTGTCGAGTCGAGCCAAACATCAAAAGTTGGCAATACTTTGGAGATATTCCAAGAGGTATGCGATAAAATAGGTATTCCTCTTGCTAGTGACTAGACTACTTTGCCTACTACATTACTCATTTTTTTGGGTATAGAATTTGATATGCAAAATTTAATCATGCAGTTTCCAAATGAAAAACTTGTCAAACTCTCACAAAAAAATCAGAGATACCTTAGACAGTTCTAAAAAAACTCATAAAGACATGCAATCCCTTCTTGGGCTCCTTAATTTTGCTTGCAAGGTGGTTGCTCCAGGCCGCACCTTCTGCCACAGACTCATAAATTCCACAATGGGGATAAGAAAATCATATTACAAAATTCGAGTAGACAAGCAGATGAAAGCAGATTTAGAAGTTTGGTTAGACTTTTTAAAACAATACAATGGTGTCACTGTAATAACCGACAATGTATGGGTTTCAAAAGAAAAATTAGAGTTGTTCACGGATAGTGCAGGGGTGTCCAAAGGCGGGTATTGGATCTAGATTGCAGGCCCAATGCATATGGCGAAAACATAGGGTTGAAACTGGAATTACCAGAAATATGACATTGTTAGAGTTGTTTCCAGTTGTAGCTGCACTTATGTCCTGGGAATTATATTTGTGAACACAAAAGTTATTTTTTATGTTGATAACCAGGCGGTTGTTCAAATCATTAATATGAAAACTAGCATATCAAGTAGAGTTATGACTTTAGTAAGACAAATTGTTTTAATGAACTTAAAAAACAATACGTCAGTTTAGGCAATTTATATCCCTTCAAAACAAAACCAAATTGCTGATTGTCTTTCTCGTTCTCAGTGGGGGAAGTTCAGAAGCCTAGCTCCAGAAGCAGACCAGTGGCCAACCAAAATTCCAACACAGATCTGGAACATTTAAGTCAGGTGGCGGATTATATTGTCAATCAAGGCGTGTCCAAAAATACACAAAAATCATACAATTTGGCTCTGTCAAAACTTTGTAATTTTAGATCATCTGACAAATTGAAACAGCTATGGCCAGTGCCAGTCAATGATATGCTAAATTTTATAGCTTTTCTGTCAGTACAAGGTCTTTCTGGTGGTACCATATCATCTTATATATCAGGAGTTTCTTATCATCATAAAATACAAGGCATACAGGATACTACAAAATTCTTTATAATTGGCAAGGCATTAGAAGGAATGGAATAAAGAGACTTCAAGGAGGGAAATGTAATGACATTAGAGCACCAATTACAGTGCAATTTTTATCAGATATGATAAATTGTTTACATAAAGTATGTAAGAATAAATATGAAGCTGCTTTATTTTCAGCAGTTTTTTCAGTTGCCTTCTTTGGTGTGCTAAGGGTACGGGAAAATCACTACTTTTAAAACTAAGTCTGTTATAAATGGCTCCAACTTAACAATTGCTGATATTTTAGTTAAGAAAAAAGTCCTGGAGCTAGGAGTAAGGTAGTCAAAAACTGACCAAAAGGGAAATTCTGTTACTTTATAGATACATGGGAACAGAAAAAAAACTACTGTCCGATACGACCCATTAACGAATACTTAAAGGTACGACATACCTGTAACAATAAAGATTTGTTTATACATTATAATGGTATACCAATTCAGCAGTATACTTAGAAAGGCTTTACATTATCTTCATATCAGTAACGGTCATATTAGGTCACATAGTTTTAGAATTGGGGGAGCCACTGAACTAGCAAGGCAGGGGGTCTCAGAGGAGGTAATTATGAAATTAGGCAGATGGAAATCGCATGCTTATTCTTGCTATATTAGGTTGCAATTTTTCTAGTTACAAAAGGCTAACAAGCTACAAGTTTTCACAGGTTCCAAGATTTTATGGATTGTTGGAAGTTGCCTTGTTCATTGGGCCAATGTAGAGGTAAAGAAATATGGTAGGACCAACCTTGGACTGGAGTACAAAGGAGTCTCAGCATACTGGATTGGGCAACCTGGTTTACAGTTTAAAGATTTGGACTCCCTACTGGATGCAAAAAGAAATATTTTACCTTCTCCTAATTTTATTATTATTCACTGTGAGGCTAATGATTTGACAGATTTATAATCGACAGGGAAGGGTTTAATTGAAAATGTAAAATGTTCCATCCTACGTTACCAGGCTTTATTCAAAAATGTTATTATAATATGGTGTTCAATGCTACAGCGCAGATACTGGCATTTTGCACCCTTAAATGCGGGTCCAATAATCGAACAAAAGAGAAAAAGAGTGAATTCAGTGGTCAAAAACTTTGTAATATAAAATGGGGGAAAAGCTATTTTACATAAGAACATTTGGGGCCTCGGTGGACGAGTGGTCTAAGTAGTTACTGTTGTAAAAAAACTAGCCAGTCAACACTGAGGTTGTGATTTCGAACCCCGTTCGTGCGGGTGCACTCGACTAGAATCTTAATTGACTAGGATTGTCAGTTTTCCTATCGAAGGTCGGTGGTTCTCTTTGGGCACTCCGGCTCCCTCCACCAAAAAAACTGGCCGCCACGAAATAGCCCAAAAGCGGTGCTTAAAAGTGGCGTTAAAACACCAAAAATCAAAATAAAATCATTAGGGTGAAGTGTCTTTATACAGAACAGATGGAACTCATTTATCACAAACTTGAAATCAGGTGCACAACAAAATCAACTTTTCCAATGCTTCAATAATGAAAATTTTGTAGAGGTGAGAACCCATGTCAGATTTGGTAGCTGACTTTGGCTCTCATATGGCGGTCCAGGGAGACTGGTAGTGATTGGGGGATTATTTCACTCGGCCCTTGCTCTGGGTCTGACAAGTTCTACAATTTGCTGGTTTGGAAAATGTGGTTAGTGCTAACGGTGGGGTCTACAGATGGGTAACTCTGGGACCTCCTCCACCTCATCTTATAGAGGGGAGGCCTACACCTGCCAACATGTGGGGCACTAATTACTGGAGCTTTTGTAATACGAGTGTTTTCCCCAGTCACTCTCTACGGTAGGTGGTGGTGTAACCGTGTTTAACTATCAGGGGTTTTATGACACTTTTTTAACATAGGTCAGCTGATAGTAAATGTGTTTAGGTAATCGGTAGTCACCCTGGCGCCTTAACAAAATATTATAGAATACTCTGTAGCCAAAGTAATGCCACAAAGTAAAAATGTATATTCTAGGCATGAAAATGTAAATACAAGTTGGTGTGTAATAAAATGTATGTTTAATTAGAATGATTGTTTTTTTGTATAAGTGGTAAAGGTTATAAATGAAAAACAGAGGATGTAACCTCTACACAAATGAGTATAATATACAGAAAGTCTGTAGTATTTTAATCTTGGTATTTGTGAATTACAATAAATAACAGACAAAGAGAGACAACTCTATTACATTTTTTAATCACTTTGTGATTAAAGAAAGGACTTCAACATAGTTTAGATATTCTTGATCGTTGTTCTTCATCTCATTGTTATTCGTTCAGTATTATTTTAGGGTCTTCTTCTATGAGTATTGCAATTAATGTTGGGTTATACTGGTTATGAAGAAAAACGACTCAAACCGACACGAATGTGTTGTCGATACGTCATGTTTGTCTCAACTCACTAGCGACATGTTTCTGCTGTCTTAAAGCCTTAAAAACCGACACAGTAGTCTAAACTGCAAGTTTGCCGACATGTTCTATTCCTTATTTTGACATTTTGACTAAGTATGGATTCGCATGGCAAATGTTGATACCAGTGGAATACTTTAAATGATATGTTCAACTCCTTGTTTAGCTAACACTTAGAATAGATCAGGAATATGAGGGGATATAGTTTGCATACTATTCAACACAACATTTAACATAGACACCAAGATGTGGGTATTATCAAATATAGGCCACCAAACGGCCTTCCAAGAAAAGAAAACCAAACGAAATTGAAAAAAAATGTTATTTTGTCAATATTTCTCTAATTTCTAAATCTTATCAAATGCTTATCAATTGTCAATTCGGTAGAACAGTTTATATGTTTAGTGCTAGTATAAGGGTCATTTCTTTAGAACTGACCATTTCTTCTTCCTTCTGGCTTGTCCATGTGGCTATCGTATTCATTAAATGCAATATCTTCAACATCACTATCATCGTCGTAATCACTGTCACCGCCAGAACTATTAACACATCTGGAGCGTTCTCTCTTTTCACCAAGTTCTAGTTTGAAAAAGACAATTACTATTTTCTTTTAGCTATATCAGATTATTATATGGCATTTTTCATATCAGATATATTATCAGCCCAAGGTTTAATATCAGCCCAAGGTTTAATATCAGCCCAAGAGTCGAAGGCTCGAGGGTTGATATTGACCGAGGGCTGATAATACATCTGATGTGAAAAATGATATGGTATGATCTTTTGATCATATGCTTCTACAATGGATAAAAATAACATTTTAACATATATCTTTTTCCTTGATCCTTTTAAGTGGTTCTCAAGTAGAAGTTCAAAAAGTGAAAAGTTTACGAACGTCGGACACCAAATGTAATACATCCTATATGAAATATTTTTATCATATACCTCAACAGAGGAGAAAACAACTGTATAATATATTTTTATATTGACGATCAAAACATAATGAACACAGTTAAGTCAATATTTGTAAAGTAACTTTCTAAATTATGCTGGAAACTTTGTAAAAATGCATTTATTGTATCATGTGTTTTTTTTTTTTGCATTTTACATAATAAATTTTCCTGTTTCCTAATGATTGTTTTGTACCCTACTTTGTAATGTTTTTCACCTAAAACGTATCATAAGTAAGGTGTATTTTCCAGAATTTGCCGAGTAACGCCGGAATGTCATGCGATAACGTTACGGAAAGGCATGTGATAATAGTCGGAAGCATGTGATAAATTTTTCATATCAGCCCGCTAAACACCATTTCGGAAAATATGGAATTCACGTTAATTTAATGCTATTATCATACTGTAAAAATTATAAGTTATTTATTTACTCTATATGATAATTGTTTATCTTGCATGTGCCCAGATAGTAATTTAGTTGTACGTTGTAATATTTGATACTGCAGGTCCATTATCACACTCGTGTATAAAGTAAAATAATGAGTTAATGTTTTTTTTTTTTAATTTTTCTGTAAATATATAAATATATATTATACTTTAATTCTGTTATTTGTTTGGTTACCTAAACAGGGGATATGAGCCCATATCTCAAACGAAGGAAAATAAAGATTAACATGGTGGTGATTGTTGAAATAAGGACCCTCCAGTTTTAATTGTTATTCGGGCTTCACAGGGGGTATGATGTCATATTCCCTGTCAGTTCAACATATTCTTTGTGCCTCGTAGCTCAGTAGATATAAAATAACTAACAGGAAATATGAGCCCATATCCTCTGTGATGATCCCGAATACTATATAATGTTAACTAAAGATTCCGACGATTATATTTCTGATTGAATTTGAAAGTTGGGGGTATAAACACTATGGTCAAAGAAATATGCAGTACACCAGATATAACATGCTATGCAAAAACGATACATCTATGAGTACCATGATTGGTTTTAAGATTAAACGAAGATCATAATTCAAAATTCTGACTTCCTAAAATGGGCCAATTGTCTATGGTTAAGGAATTTGATTATAAGTGTTTTCTAAGTAGCTAGTTGACATAGTTGTTTTCTCTCAGGGGTGTCTGAAGAGTGATTTTTCAAATCTGGTTGATATAAGAGTTCAGATTATAACATTATGATATAATACCGGTCAATCTGGGAGATCTGAAGGCCATATGTGTGTCATTCTGCAGTTCTAACCACAATCCACGTTTAAAATCAGCAGTCAAATCCTGTCCAAAATAAGAAAAAAATAGTTTATTGAGAGACAATTACTAATTAAAAAACATCGTATGATCGAATTTCATATTGATCGACACTTGATGTTTAAAAAGTACACAGCTTGCTTTATAATCAATTTACAACAAGGTCACATATCTTAACAAAAAATGCTGATGATAATGTAAAATTTCTTTTTTGAGTGATAACATTAGACAAAGTTGAATATTAGAAAACATTCAACACTAAAAGTAGGAAGGGGGAGAACTTCGTGCTAAGTTATGTGACTGATCGGATCTTTTCATTTGTTTGTCATTTGACATTTACGGATTGAGGGTTTTAGGGACACCATCTTTTATTTATTGCTCAAGTAAGATATTCAATTATAACGCGTAGTTTTACTTGTTGTCACAAATTTAACATGAATAAATAGAAAACATTAAAGTAAGAATTATATTACAATATCCTGCCTTGTGAAATATCTATTGTTTTTGTTGTGTTTTTTTTCCTTGGTGGGGAGGGGAGTTATCGTCGGTGATTTTATCGATTGTACCGTTATAACTAGACTATTACTTATATTGTAAAAAAATAAACACTTATTCAGACTGTATGTTTCTTTTAAAGAGTATTCTTTGGTGTCTTAATTTGAAAATGTTATTTAATCTGAACGTACATTTATGTTAAAGATGCTACCTACGAACAATTACAACGAACGATTTGAAATAACTTACTTATTACAAATATTTGAGTCTTTGCGTGTATGCATGTTTCAACGCCTTTAAAATAATAATAAAAAAGAACATTGGCTTCTTTGCTTTATTTTTCTATTCCGAACATCAGCTTTCTGATTTCGAAATTTCTAATGAGAGCATTGAATAGATATTTGTGTATATCAATTCCCATTAGAGTCACATTTTTTTAGCCAGGTTTGAATTTTCACTTTAATACCGTCTGATTTTGAACTGAAGATAATCAACGTATACACTTTATTCTTTGAATTTGTGAATGAGGATATTTTTCTTGTAGTTTTTTCGATTCCATTTTCGATCCCCGTATGTTAAGGGTGTGTGTCTAATTAGTCATGACAGATTAAATGTTAGAATGTTAAACTTATTATATAATATAACAACCATAAGACCAAAACCGGGTTGATAAGTTTTAGTACATTATTAATAATAGAAATTCCTTGTGAAATGAGATCGTCCCAAGTATTTTATATAATTATTTTGCGTTGATTAACGATGAAAACTGCACAAACAAATTTGTAAGTGTTGAAAATCAATATTGAACGATAAAAGATACTGTACTGGTGAGGAATTTTTATTTCTTTTTTTTTTGTTGATTTCCTTGAACAACCGCTTTAAATGTACTTTCCTATATTCAGTTATTTAATTTAAAGAAAATAGTCATGTTTTTGAAATCTTGAACTATTCCTCCATCAAAAATTGTTTTTGAATATTATCTAGCAAAAAGGTAAAAAAAATGCCTCAATTGGTTTTGCTCATTGTTGACGGTCGTACGGTGAGGTTTAAGTGTTAACCTCTATGTCATTTGGTCGCTGGTGTATAGTTGTCTCATTAGTAATCTCACCACATCTTCTTATTCTCATATTCATATTTTAAATTCAATCTTCCAGTGAATATTATAATATAGAGAAATTGTCAAGAAAATCTTATAATGATGTATTATTTCCCATTTAGTAATAGTGGTAACAAGAATGTGTCCATAGTACACGGATGCCCCACTCGCACTATCATTTTCAGTTCAGTGGACCGTGAAATTGGGGTCAAAACTCTAATTTGGCATTTAAATTAGAAAGATCATATAGTAGGAAACATGTGTATTACGTTTCAAGTTGATTGGACTTCAACTTCATCAAAAACTACCTTGACCAAAAACTTTAACCTGAAGCGGGACAGAAGAACGAACTTACAGAAGAACAAACTGACAAACAAATGGACGCACAGACCGAAAAACATAATGCCCCTCTACTCTCGTAGGTGGGGCATAAAAATTCAAACTGAAATTTAAAAATGCAATACCAAAAACATTTGATGATGAATAACCTATTATAATCAAATGGTATTGTAGAAATAGAACAGTGTAGTTCTGACTAAAACTCGTCGAGTGTAGACATTTCGTATTTTAGTTGTATAGGGAGATAGACAATTGTACCTGGGTATAGACCATTGCACTTGGATATCAAATATATATTTAATTTTGCCAAAAGCGGACATATAAACTTATAACATTAAAAAGCCGAAATGAGAGAAATTTTTCATTGTTATTTTCCCAGATAAAAGATCACTTTAGATTAATGAGAATTTCTATTTGACAACCCAAATGAAATAGGTTCGGCCTAAAGACACACTTTATAATGTGCTATACAATTGATGCAATCCAGCATCCGTTAAACAGTTAAGCAGACAGTCTTCCTGTTGATAGAGTTATTTGTATTAAATCATTGTATGATATAAAAAAAAACTCATCAGAGATACCAAGATTAAGATTTTGTATGCCAGACGTGCAATTCGTCTCCAAAAGACTCATCAGTGATGATCGAATAAAAAAAATGCAAAGGCCAAATAAAGTACAAAATTGAAGAGCACTAAGAACCCACAATTCCGAAAGGTTTTGCCAAACACAGCTATGTTTATCTTTTTCCCGGGTAGAAACTCCTTAGTAATTAGAAAATTCTAAACAGTATCTACATGTATTCGTCCGTTTTAAAGCATTCAAGTATCAAATGATACAAACAATTTAACCAACCAGTGATTTGTAAAGGTTAAAACAAGTTCAAAAAATGGAAGTTTAGTACAATACACACATTGTTTTGCTCCCTGAATACTTTTCATGAACCAGTCATTTTGCTTTTGTTGCCTCAGCACTTTTTTTCATTCAGGTATGGATCGAGCTACATAATTTGAATATTTAGGTTTCAAATCAGTTGTGTTCTAACAAACTTAAAATTGGGCAATGTGCAAACGAAACAAATGGTTCTTTCATTTGTATGTATGTGTGTGTAAGTTTGATTCAAGTTGTACATGTGTATACCTTCTCGTAAATATACTCGATGGATCGTTGGTTAAATGACTTCGTAATATGTTCTTTTGGAATCTTCCATTTGCCTTCCTTTAGAAGGTACATTGATAATGCATTCGGATACATATCAGTGTTTTCCCCCTGAAATGAACGCATTTACATTTAATATGATACAAATGATGGTTATTATTGAAATCAAGTTAAAAAAAAGTCGCGATGTGTTTAGTTCTTTTAATTCGTGATTGCTCCATCTACATAAAACACATATGGTAAGTAAAAGATACAAATTGAATAAGTTGCTAAATTACATTTACGTTCCTTACTTAATGTTAACATATGTGGTACCAATTTTTCTGCACCAGATTGACATTCGACAATAAATGATTCTTCAGTGTTGCTCGCTGCCAAACTGTTTGATAATTCAAAACTTACATAATGAAGAGCATATAAACCAAAAAGGACAACAAAACTATAGCCATAGTGAGAAACCACATATTCATATCATCAACTTTGATATATACAATCGATCAATAAGAATATTGTAGTTATTAAACTAATTTGTTGAACTTCAATAAATTGGTAATGCCTTTGACTGGAAAAGTATTTCACATGACATTATGGTTTATTATGTTTATACCTTACATTTCTTTTTTCCTTTTTTGTATGTCTCGGTTGATACTAAATGTATTTTCTGTGTCTTCAGAATTAAATGTTTTCAATGGAAAATTATTGTGATTGTCAATATAAACTGTCATTTGGAATTCTAGCAACTTATTCTTCCAATCTATCTGTTAATAACTTTAAAATGCATATATTTCAAAAAGGTAACAAATGGTCAAAAACCTCAAAATGTTAATTTCAAGATCCACTATGACATCAAGTTTGTAAAGTTCATTCAAGTAATTCATGAATCATGATTATCACAATACAGATCCTCAGAAAACAGCCTCTAAGATTTGTCCCAATAACTCATGAAATAAGGAGAGACTTAATTGTAAATGGTTTTTGATTCGGACCTCAGTTTAAAGAGGAAAACCCTTATTTGAAAGGATGAATTACTCTCTAAGTTTCTCTTCAACCCTGTTATAAGAGGTTCATATTTTAAATGTTATAAAGAATATAACAAATTGTGTAAATATAAAAAGCGTTCATTTAAACAAACTATTTTAAAATGGCCTACACATTTTTAGCGATGTTGATTCAAAACAGTATTGGAAACTCATCAAATTGGATGTTCTAAGAAATGTAGACCATCTGATCATGTTTTTGTTTTAAACACTTCTATTGATAAATGTATAAGTAAAAATGGGGAAATGCTTTGCCTAATTTGTTAATTTTAAAAAGGGTTTTGATATAAAGTGATTCATGCAGGGAATCAATTTAAACATTTAACAAATAATTTATCTGGAAAGTTTTATTCTATTTACAAATACATGTATTGTAAAATATGACCTATGTGTAAAAACTGTTGATATAGTAACTTCATGTTTCAGGTCTTGCATAGGTGTGAGACAGGGTAATGTTTCAGACTAAATATTCTAAAAATATTCATAAATGATCTACCAGACAATTTCTTATCATGTCCGAATCCTGTTGATATTGGTAATCGTAGAATTGATTGTCTAATGTATGCTGATGAAATTGTTATATTTTCAGAAACACATGATGGTTTGCAAAAGAGAATTGATATGTTGCATACTTTTTGTGCAGAATTGTAGTTGAATATTGATCCTAAGAGGACAAAGATTTCAAATTTCAATAAATCAGGCAAATCTAAGTCCATGACGTGGCTCGGTACTTATACATCCCGCCATTGTATTATTGTGCTATTGTCAATTTTGAATTCTTGTCTTTCATTTTTGCTTATGTACCTTGTCTATATGCCATTTTGTGTTTCTTTGTTGAAACAATTATTTGTTTTTATAGTGATTAAGATTATATCACAATGTTGACTGCTGTACCCCAACTTTTGACGTTTTTATCTATTATGTCTGTTTGTTTTGCCCACACATTGTTTTCAATATAGTGGAATTCAATGCGACTGTCATAAAACCGGGAGGTTTAGCTAGCTATAAAACCAGGTTTAATCTACCATTTTCTACATAAGGAAATGCCTGTACCAAGTCATGAATATGATGGTTGTTTTCCATTCGTTAGATGTGTTTGAGCTTTTGATTTTGCCATTTTATAAAGGACTTTCCGTTTTGAATTTCCCTAAGAGTTCGGTACTTTTTTATTTTACTATTTTTGGAGCAATGTAAAGAAGAATTACTTTAGAAATCAATTAAAAACATGTTTTAAGTAACACAGGTGTTTGTCTTTCTCTAATCTTAGAATTACATCTTTTATACATCTGTATATTCATACAATAAGACCAATTATTTTGTATGGCTGTGCAATTTGGGGAATGTTTACTTCTGAATTAGCTTCACGTAAGAAAAGAAATGAATATATCATAGAATAGGTTTTTTCTCAGAATACTACTGAAAGGTCACATGATACATTTATGAAATATATTCTTGGTATTAATACAACAGCAAGTAATATAGTTGTGATGTCAGAAATTGGTAGATTTCAAATTCAATTAGAGTTATCTTATTAATGTTAAAATATTGCCATATACTCGAAGATTTGATAGATGGATTATTATATGATGCCTATATATGTAATGAACAGTTAATTTTTTTTTTCTAAAGTCAATAAATGGTTTTCCATTATAGTATTTATACAAAAAGAGATTCAAAAGAGACATTCAAATCGAAAATAAACTGACTAAACCATGGCTAAAAACAGAAAAAAGACGAAAAGACAAATAACAGTACACAAAACTAAAGACTGCGCAACACAAACCAAATTTTAATAAAAAAAAATGTGGTACTTTGTGTTAGTTGTGTGACAGTTTTCTTAAATATCGGAATCATCTAAAGTATCACTGACAAAGGCAAACTTGACACGTATTTCTCATATGAAGATTGTTTTCAAAAAGAGAAATATTTAGATATCAATGATTTTTAGAAAGGTAGTCTATATGTTAAGTAAGAATCAGTGTTCATTCATTAAGAATTGTAACTGTCAGATATTCAAAAATATGTGCTCTTTATAGGCCATGTAACATGGAACAAAAATGTATCCATAGTACACGAATGCCCCACTCGCACTTTTATTTTATATGTTCAGTGGACCGTGAAATTGGGGTAAAAACTCTAATTTGGCATTAAAATTAAAAAGATCATATCATACGTAACATGTGTACTAAATTTCAAATTAATTGAACTTCAACTTCATCAGAATCTACCTTGACCAAAATGTTAACCTGAAGCGGGACAGACGGGCGAACGAACGGACGAACGAACGGACGCACAGACCGAAAAACATAATGCCCCTCTACTATCGTAGGTGGGGCATACAAAACAATATTCTATTCTATTCTATACTTATCAGAATAACATTCTGCAAGTAACGAATCTATGGTATGTCTTATATAAATTCTTTTTTCCTGAGACTTGCTTTCCATCGACACTGAAATAATGAATTTAAATGAATTAATCCTTTTTTATTGGTACGGTAGTACCAACAAACCAAGTTTTAAGACAACAAGGTTGCTTTAAGTCATGTACATATGTACACACAGATGTGATTCAAATGGATTCAAACATCTATAGTTCACTATTTGATAATTTTTTTTCTATTATGGCCACATTATTTTCCCTGAAAACTTTTGTCTTTAGGTTGTAAAAGAATAATATAAGAAAACTACATTTTTAAAAAAAAATATGATATTATTTTCATCACTGTGACGTCTTATTCGAATGCATTTTAAAATGTCCAGTCAAATGCACAATTGACATGTCTAGAGCCGCCATATTGATTTGCTTAGATTCAAAAAGGTTCGGTTAATACAACATATTCAAAAATAAAACAACACTTAACTCAAATAACAGTTTCGTGAAATTATATTTTGTTCTTAATTTATACGTTTTTAACAGTCCTAGTGCACTGTTACCTTTTTAATGCATAATAATAGGAATATCAGGAGTGAAGTTGAAGATTTGGGTCGATTTAACGGCTGTACCTCTTCAACAACAGTACTATTACCCTTAACTACCTTAGCCAGAATGTTATTCAAATTATCAAAATGTGTTGTACCTTGGTAAACAAGTGATTCATTAGTGTACAGTCGTTATGTTAAACTCAGCATTTTAATTCAGCTCTTACTGAATTCTCCAAAAAAAGGAATAAAATCCCTAAATTTCCTGAACATTCTTATCGAAGTTGAACAGTAACAAGTCTCATCAATATTGTTCAGTGCTCGTTTGAAGTTATATTGAATTGACTATTATTTATACGAAAGAACATTTAAATTGAAAGAGAACAGCAGACTTTTTTTCTTCTGATATATTTTCTTTAAATCTATGATTTGGACCTAAAATGCATATCATCTTAAAATTTCCTAGTAGGTGAAAGAAAAGAGGATTTTCTTTTTAGATTTATTTTGGTAACTTTGTTGTTGAGTAGACTTAAATGATTAGATTTCAATAGTTTTATCTGAGCGTCACTGGTTAGTCTTGTGTGGACGAAACGCGCGTCTTGCATATTAAGTTTTAAACCTGTTACCTTTTGTTAGTTATTATTCGTATGTTTCTCTGTCCTATATGTTCTCCCATTTATTTGTATTGTAGTCTTGTCATGTAATGTTGTCATTTTAATGTTATATTTAACATTGCCATAAAAGCGGGAGGTTTGGCCACAAAACCAGGTTCAACCCACTTTTTTTTTTTCTTAAAATGTCATGTACCAAGTCAGGAAAATGGCCATTGTTATATTATAGTTCGTTTCTGTGTGTGTTACATTTTAATGTTGTGTTTCTGTTGTGTCGTAGTTCTCCTCTTATATTTGATGTGTTTCCCTCAGTTTTAGTTTGTAACCCGGATTTGTTTTTTTCTCAATCGATTGATGAATTTCGAACAGCGGTATACTAATGTTGCCTTTATTTATCAATTATCTGTATGTAAAGCTGTAGAATAAACATCCACACCCTTTTACCGGTTACTATATAGATGTAATAGGTAACACAGATCAAAATATTCTGTATTATAACTAAAATTTAGTTAATCTTTGTATAAGGGTTGTAAAAGCATGCATTCTTTAAAACCACTGAAACCTGATACATAAAAAGTGCCTCGTATCAGACGTTTACACATTGATAACTATTTTCCTAAATAGTCAAAACGATTTGATAAATACTCATATTTCCTCACAATATACCAATCAAGCAACTATTTTGTTTCCAACTACAGCAAGTTCTATTTTGAAATGTTTTTCTACATCATTTTTTCCTATGAATTTTAGGTATTTTTTCACAAGAAACAATGACATTACAAAAGATATCACATGACCAAATAAACTTGCCATAACATTCAATCAACTCTCTCTCATGTAGGTACGATATTGTCTGTGTGATATGTTTTATGAAACCAATTTATTCAGTGTCATTTATGTAAGAAAAAAATGTAAATATACAAAACGGGAAATGGTTAAAGGAGTTTCCTTATTCATACAAAATATATTTAAAATCTTTCCATCACTCCTTCATCTGTTTTTGAATACGGTATCAAAACAAAACAACAACATGTTGAATTTACGTGCTATGATACCTGTAAGACTAATTTTAACCTCAGATCTTATGTCACGGATATAAGCAACTAAAGGTCACCGTGAGCCTTCAACAATGAGCAAAGCCACGCCGCATTAAATTCAAAAACGGTGCCAGTTTTACCAAGTTACGAAACAGCACATTATAAGAACAAACCTAAAACTTGTATTTTTCTCGACTTTGTTTTATTTGATTGGTTGATTGATTGGTGTTTAACGCCACTTTCAACATTGTTGGTTATTTTGTGGCGGCCTGTTTTTATTATTGGAAGAAGCCGGAATACCAAGAGAGAACCACTGACCGTTGGTAGGAAAACTTACAATCCTAGTAAATTAAGATTGAAGTCGAACGCACCTGCCACGTACGGGTCTCGAATTCACAACCGCAGTGTTGACAGGCTAGTGATATAGTAGTTGAACTACTGCGACCATTCGGCCACCTATGTCCATGATTTTGTTTTGAAATAATGTAGATTCAACTATTTGCGTGGCTTTCAATATTCGTGGATTGAAGAAAATGGTATGTTGTATATTGTCGCCAAAGTTTTCATATAAGTATAACATGTATAAAGGAATATTGTACTTCATTAGAAATTCATCGTTTGCCTGTACCTTCGAATTCCACGAAAATTGATATCAAACGAATGATAATGAATCCATAGTAGTTTGACATATCAGATAAGCGCGATATCCAAAAATAGTTCAACTGATAAAGGCATTAAACGTTTTGGACGATGATGTTTCTTTGGCTCTTCTTACGGTGTGTATACTTCACAACTTGTTCGCTATGTCCGTGTCTGTAGTCGCTTTCCAGGTTTTCATGAATGTAATGGATGTAGAACTGATAAATTATTAAATCGGAGATTTCGTTACAACAAATTAATTAAAACCTATACCAAATTCTCTCATAAATACATAGATGTGATTAGGACGTTTGGCTGTTGTGGGGGTGTATAAATATCCTGCCATGTACAGTCTGTGTTTTTGGTGTTTGTTTTGTATCGATCTAATGAGTAAAGTCCTTTTCAACTGATTTTTATAGTTTGTTCTTATGTTGTATTGTTACACCACTGTCCGAGTTTACGGGAAGAGTTTGGCGCTAGCAAGCGTGTAAAAGTCGTCACAGCTAGTGAAAGCTTGTCTAAATCCTATTTGTGTTTTGACGTCCATTAAATTTTACTAACATACAAAGGTGCAAACATTATTTTGGCATGTAAGATTAGCAAAGAACATTGATATTTTGCACATTCAGAGATTCAACGTTCTATCATATGAATTTTGAAAAAGCAACATCTTGTATACCTCCGATTATCAAACAGCATATTATAGCATCTAAGTTATCTTTGTATTCAGATGGACCCTCTGAGATGAACGCTATTTCGTCTGGATCATCCTCTTTATCATAACGTCGTCCTAAATCATAAATCTTTGATTTCGATTTCTGGACATTCCATGGGTTCTTAACATTTGTGATATGTTCTGTCATCTTTACTGACTTCTCATCGTTAGTATACTTCACACGTGTCAAAACAGTCACATCATATGTGTGTTTCTAAAATAATATAAAATATTTTTCAACTTCTAAAATTCTGCTCAGTCAAGACTTCCTGATGTACAATGTATCATTTTTCGCCCTTGATGATAAGAAGACAACTCGACTGTTTAAATGAAACTACAAATGCATTACAGCTCAACACATACGCATCATGCACTTTTGTTAAGGGAATATTGCGTTGCGTCTGACATATTCCAATAAACTATTACCACAATCAAACCACAGCAACAATAAGAAATTGGTTTTTTTTTCTGCGAAAGTTTTTCTACGGTTTTCTTTTTTATTCAGATATAAATACAAGAATCCCTTCCCCTCCCTCATTAAATAATTAATTATTGAGGAAGATAATGTAAGAATGATAAACCTATGATATCAGGATTAAATCCTGAACAAGATACCCGAATCCATCTAAGGTCAATTTAGCATTGCTAAGACATGTTTGATGTTATTAAAAAAGATATATAAATTTACAGAAGCTTGTTGTACTGGAAAATAATTTGTCATAAAAAAAAAACAATTGATTCAATCTTAGTTTCAGATAGGACTTATTATTTTAAGGTATAGTTTGATCTGGCTCCTGATTGAAACTTTAGGGTATAGGAATTAAGTATACTTGAATCTTTTGATATACAGCGAACACCACTCACTGACAAATTACAAAAAAGCCTATCTGTTAATACGATACTCAATTTAACCTTGCATAATGTATAAGAAATGTAAAACAGAATCTTAATATCGTGTCTTCAGATATTTCAGACAGACTTCAAAACTTTGGTTTTACATTTGATTGCATTGCATGTTTCCTCATGTTTTTGTACCAAGTTGACAGTATCAATGTCTCAACATTTTGTTTCTGTTTCTAAAATAAAATACACTATTCTCTATTTTTGTTTTGCATTAGAAATATCCAATCAATAAATACGGGGGATGACTGACTTATGTATATGAATGGAAATATACAAGTTTTGGAAAAAGCGGTTGATAATATGAAGGGTCAGTCAAACATCATAAGCCGAAGAAAAACTGACAACGTCATGACAACATCATGACAAAAGAAGACGATAAGCGACCAAAGACGAACAAGTCCACAAAATACTACATAGGAAACTAAAGATTGAGCAACACAGCCCCCAACGAAACCTGTTCATATGCTCCAGTAGGGTAAGCAGTTTCTGAAAAAAGCAGTAAAACATAAACTGTGCAGATGTGTTCAAAGTTGCATTACGGGTCGTTTAAATTGTCTATGAAATCTGTTTGAATATACATAATCGAAAAACAAGACATTTACATATCATTAATTTAGTATATTGTATTCAACACTTTACAAAGCCTGTGTGTAACGAATGGGTAACTCTGTAGCCGATAACAGAGACACTTTCACCAGGATTACAAATCACTCCATTTATCATAGCTACATGTACAACACACCATGTACAATTCCGAGGCAAAGGTAGTTTGTCGATTTCAAATCTCATTAATCAATATAGCAGATTCAAATCCAGAGACAAAAGAAAAAAAAATAAGAAAACTGCAAAAGACAGAGGTCAGGTTATCTGACAAATTAGTTGTCTGTTGTTATGCATAGATAACCCGCCATGTGAGCACAACTTATTAAAATGTAACAATTGTGAATAGGACACAACCGGTAAATTTACTGATCAGACGAATATACTGTTATCTTAAGGCCATTGGTGGTAGAAATCAAATGTTTTCCAGTTTTAGCCTCAATTTGTATGTTTTTTCATCTTATTTTGGTCAGAATGGGTTATCAAGACCTCTAGATGCACGGGTTTGCTAAAAAAACACTTTTAAGTTTATTTCTATTTTTGTTGTATATTAAACCTTTCCATGCTGCGCCTGTCATATGACGGGATTACCCAAACCACCGTTATTTGGCTCCAATGGCTCTCCATACTTTTGGAGGTCAACTTTATGATACTTATTTCAAAATTGATGCATGTTCCCTCAACCTGAGGCTATCTATTGTCATGTTTCTCATGTCTTAGTTGCATTTTGAGCTCAAATACGAACTTGGAAAATTGAAATCGGATAAAACTGGTTTTTCTGGAGGGATGGGCTTCCCTTCGGTGTCTTATACAGAAAGTTCGGAGGCCTAAAACTTTCAAAATTAGTGTAAACCCGCAGGCATATATCTACTGATCATAATTATTATTGAAATACGCATAGGAAACGACTACTTCTGGTTTCAGGCCCACTTGAAGTCAAAAATCGGAAATAATCGTGAAATTCCGTATTTTTTGTCCAAATGACCTTCTCTAGACTGGTGTTCCCAGATAAATTTCACTCCAACCTAAAAACTGATGGGGTTAATGTGTTAACGTAGGTCCACTGTAAATGCAGACTACAGCTGGATACCTATATCAGCATCCCTCGGTCTTTGGGGTCAAGAAATAGGACGAAAAATCGTCAAAATTGATGCTTTTTGCACCTGATGACCACCTTTGGGGCAAATTAATGCCCACCCACCTCCGCCTTCTCACCCCAACTACCCCGCCCCGTGATCCCATACCTTAGATTTAAAGGAATCAATATGCTTCAGCAGCCGGGTAAAGCTCATTTGCATGTAATTTGCATATTTTTGCAAATAAACGAAAATTTGACATTTTCTGAAAACAGTTTAGCATGGTTAGTGTTAAAATATAACACCACGAAAACATGTCGTTTGTCGTTTTAAAACATACACACACATACCACTGTTGGAGGAATTGTGTGAAAGAAGCACACCCACTCTGTATGGTGCAAGCGTGCACAAGCGTAACCTATTATTTAAGATATGTTAACGCTATATGACGGGTCACAGGGTCTTTTCTGCTGCAAAATTAAATTTGACAATCGTAAAATTAAATTCATCATGATTGTCGTAAGTTCTAGATATTAAGAAAGGAACAAGACCTGCTGCTTTCTGTAATATCTTAATTCTCATGTTCACCCGGATATAAGAGATGAAAGCTTTCTTTGAAATGAGGATTATTGATTAAAGAAAGTAGCAAGATGTTTTTTTATTTTTTGAGAAGGATCTCTCTGGAATATGCTTCTTACGAGTACAACAGCAAATCGATAAGTAGAGTCGCACAATTAATACCAATTTGAATAACGACTGTTGAGATGTCAATCCACCAAACTCAAAACATATGTTGTTGATCAAAACTTCTAGCATTTTGATTATATCTTCATGGGTAAATGTTATTGGAAACAGTGAGGTTCTTAACAAAGTTCAATGTGTGATCACCTTAAACAAGGAATTTAGTTCTATGACTGAAATGTTTGTACAAAAAACTTGAAAAAAGAAGTTGTATTCGATGTTAAGATTTTTTATGGGGAATAATAGTGTTAAGCTTATAAAAATCAAAATTTTGATATTACTGTAAAATTGTTAAGATGGTGACCGATGATTTTGTAGTAGATATTGAGAAATTTTGAAGACCCGCACCTGATTGAAACCAATGTTTGAAAATACCTTAAGCCATCTTTTACTATCGACAGAATAGAACATTTGGAAGAACGTTAGAAGGGTTGTTAGTTGAACATGTTCAAAAATCGGTTTGTATTGTTCTTTATCAGACTTTTTGTGAAGTTAAAGTATCCAGTATGAAGATGGGATATTGTCATCGATCTCCTCCAAGTTTTTAACACAGAAGAAAAGAAATATTTTGTTAATTTTCAAAATCTTTCCTTTGCAAATGACTTATCGGCAAATATGAAATTGCAAGTTTTACTGTGAATTCAAAATTTGCTGTGAATTCCAAGTTCTTTCGTAAGACATTTTATAAAAATGATTGTTGCATAAAGTAACAATATTGTTCGAGTCTTTGTCTAGTGAAACAATATCATATTGTTCGTGTAAAAAATTAACAACTTCTCGGTTCTTGAAAGAGTTATAAACCCTTGAGCTCATGGTACGTCGTAGTTTTAGTGCGCTTTTGAATGCTTGACAAAAAAGCACTCATCCGTTTAGATAAAATATGCCGTATATATTGATATGACTAGCGCTTTAATCATGTTCTGCTGGTGGACTATCAGTCCCCGAGGCTAACATCAGATCAGTAGTAAGTATTTCGGCACTGACATGATTTAAAACAAACCTTTCTAAAATTGCCCGTTTATAAGTTTTGAAATTATTTAGAAACTAAGGTTTCAACTTCCTCAGGCAAAGTTGACCTTACATGGATTAGGCGATTTTTTATGTTCTTTTTGGTCGTAAAGATCCACAAATGTTTCGGTCCTTATACATCTTGGCTTTTAACTTTTTGGCATTGAGCGTTCTTGATGAAGTTAAATCCGGAAAAGCCTCTTGCGGATGAATACCTTTGATGCAATGGGTTTGATGGTTGATGTAGGTATATGAAAAGACTGTAATAGTTTCATATTCAAATTAATCATGTATTGTTTTATAAACGATTGTTTGAATGAAAATGTTGTTTATGTTGATAACACATGTAACATTTAAACCCTTATTAGCGATTTTTAATTTTAAAAATGTGAATTTATCATCTCTTAAAGGTAGTTGTCATGGGTTTAACATGTCTAAATAGCCCCGGTGCATAGCTATATCCATAAATATTGCAACTACCTGGCAGAATTTCTTTTATTAACGGAAGTGTTTTGGTCCTCTGGAAAACGCAAATTTTAATGAAATCGCCAAACAATCTCAGGCAGTTCAATTTATGAGACGAACCGAACATCTAAGCAATATTATATTACCTTAAATCGAATTATAGGTATTTTAGATTCTGCAGCACTGCGCATCACTGTTTCCCTGAATGCTCCTTTTCTAAGTGAAATGATGACTGGCAAAACTGTTTCTCCATAAACATCTGTTTAATATTGAAATTAACATATGCATATTCATATATCAATTGACAACAAAAATTGAACCAAAAGCTTACAAACGCATTTTTGGGTATATCTAATTTCATATTGTTGCATATTCAACACACAAAGATTTTCGAAATTATTAATATTGCTATACACTTAGCATACGGTTCCCAATAATCATGATTACGTACAATCTCCCATATGAAAATTGATGTCACAGGAATAATTAAACAAAATAAAAAATCACAGTAGTTATAGTTTGATTAAAAGCATATTGAAAAGTGCCTTTCCAATTGTTCTAAATTAAATCTTTTAATGTTTGTTGATACGCTATTGATGTTTATTATATACTTAGTAGTAAATACAGGTATACTGTATGTGTAATAAAACTAATGACAATCGTGCTATATCAACCATCCGTGATGATATCGATATCAGTCACGGTTACATTAGCTTTATCAAATCCCTTCAACTCTATGACGTCACGTCATCGATATCAGACACGCTTGTAAAGGCTTTATCAAACCATAATCTGTATTACATCAACTTACGGGTGAAAACATCTACTTGAAGTATATAATAAAGTGTATATGATATGGCTTTTTCAATATCACACCCCGTATCAACCCTCAACCAATATAATCCCTCGAGCAGAGCTCTAGGTATTATATTAGTGTCTTGGGTTGATACGGGTGTGATATTGAAAAAGCCATATAATATTCTCTATTAATTAGATTAGATACAGAAGTAAAATTCAAACACACACATATATATATATATATATATATACCTAGGTATTATGTTTAATAACTCAATCCATGTTTTCTATTGTATATTATATAAGTCGATTATCTGACAATAGTATGAGTTTAAGTTTACATCCGGCACTCATCATATAGCTCTTTATCTGTTACGGTTCCTAAACATCATTGGCTTGCAAATATTTGGCTTCGTACACTCCTGATGAAGGTAAATCCAGAAAGGCGATTCAGACGCATGAAAATTATAAAGCGCTGTTATCATTTTTCGACCTGTTGGTGTCTTGTTATATGTATGTATTTCAAAGAGTATTGATTTATGTTGTGTTGCTATGCATCTACTGTTTATCATTTGTTTAGCAAATGTGATAATTTATATAGCTTATATTTTATATTCATTCATGCAAATACTAACATTCAGCCATTCTTTTGAAATAATGAATGTCGTCCTCGTCGTTAACAACATCGCCTCTTTCAAACTGTTTGAATCCTTTTTTAACAAGTTCCTTAAAAACCAACAAATAGTCAAACTTTAATTAATTGGAACTAGAATATAATTAGCTTCGTATCTCATAATTGTATTATATTCTAGTTTTTGTTTAAGCATCAATACGTATTCAAACATTTTTTTCAATTTGCAATTTTACGATTTTGTGATCTGTTTTTTTTCTCTTGTTTTTGTCACAAAAAAAATAAATCACGAAAATGCCTAATAAAAGAGGGGCGAAAGATATCAGGGGGGGGGGGGGGGGGGCATTCAATCGCATTAGTCGAAAATAAACGGACAACGCCATGGTTAAAAAAGAAAAAAGACCAACAAAAAACAGAAAAACAATACTACACAAAACACAACACAACATAGAAAACTGACGACTGAGCAACACGAACTGACTGTTCGATATCATAAACCAAATATCTTTTTCTTTTTTCTTTTTTTCTTAACATTAACAAATACTTTATTGCACTACTATCTAGTTGTTAACAACTGTCATATATAGTAAAACTATTATATATAGGTTTATCCCTGTGTGTTAATCGTCAAATGAACCGGGGGATTGACTTGACGAAATTGTGTAGTCTTCTTAGTTAGAGTTATTTACATTTGTATTATTACATTTATTTTGCGGATATCTGTTTTCTCCGTTTACGTTTTGCTATTTACAGTAGTTTATTTATACACCCTACACGTGTTACTTTCCGTTGGATTTAAAGATTTGTCTTTCATATTCTATTAAGGTAGGTTTCAAATATAATTAGTGTGCCACTATGATTAAGATGACTTAATATGTAAGGTTTTTTTGTTTGTTTTTTTTTTATATGTATATATCTATTTAAAATATCTTCAATCTTTGATATTATTCTAAATCAAACGTTCAATGAAACGAAAGTAGATATTTCAACGCGTTTGATTTCTTCAAAACTGAAAATAAGAAGATATATTTCTAATCAGAAAACCGTCTTGTGTCCCTTACTAGTTTCAATTCGATAATGATAAAAACATCGTGACACATTATGCAAGAATTAAGTGATTTTCATAGCGTTAAGGGAGAAAACTCTTTTTATACATTACATGCTATTTGTTTTTGTACACCTACCATCATGACCTGGTTCACATACAAAATAAAATACACATACACTCGCCTATACATACGTATACATGTATATATATATATACATATGTCTCTAAACACAAATGTTAGTTTATACACCTATACAATATAATTATATCGCTCTCATTCTATAAATGAGCATGCTTACTTAAAATAATATCATATAAATCTGAACATAAAAAAAATAAACATGAATGTACCTTAATTCTAGTTTACAAAGCACTTAAAATTTTTGCAACACTGCGAAGAATCTTAAGTTTATCCTGCCGTTTACACTCTATTTTAAACATTCCTTGAAATTTTGATTTGAACATGCAAAAAGTATTGACAGGTTTTGATCTTCTTTGTTCAGAGATATAGTATGCCTTATAAATTGCGTATGTAATTATTGTTAATAAGTAATTTATTTCATAGTATTCTTCTTGTTCAATTTTATATCCCCGTGCTAGATTTGATCAGATTAGAATGTGATTACCTATTTTTTTTTTCCCAAATACTTTTAATGTTTTACATGTTAGAAACATTAAATTCATGGCAGTTTGAGCTTGTACTTATTTTCCATTGCTTCAATAAAACTTTACAAGCTAGGATATAATGCAATAGTTTCCATATTAATATTATCAGTGTGTTATCTCTCAGCAAAAAATGAGTGAATTTTAAAATGCTTTCAGCTGTAATATTTAAGTTACCAAATTTTATTAGACGATTCCATTTTGAGAATCCAAATGGTGTCTCTTTACCCTGTGACCTTTCATAAATCTATAAATACTTGTGGTCTCCATGTTATTTAATAAAAGTTCCGGACGACTATTTATTGTGGTGCTCATCTTGGTTAAAACTTTAGTCTTAACTGAATTATCATGCTCAATCATTTTTTCCATATTAGTGGAATAGCTTTTTTAAGTATTAGCAGTTCAGCTATCCAACTAGTTTTGTTTTTTAATTTCTCAAGTACTACCTTTTCTGATATTTTCCCCTTGGTATCTAATATGTCATTTATATGAATTATGTTACTATCAATCCAATTTTAAAAAAACAAGACATTAACCCTTATCTTTTATATAATAATTCCACTTTATAATCTGTTGTCGGATTGATCTTAAGTTTTCAGGTGTTGCAGTTTTTCCCTTTGTATATTTTATCCATGTTTTGATTATTTCTAAGTAGAAGTCTGGTATTTTGTACTTATTTATGTTACATATTGAATTCATATTTTCTATGTTCATATTGAAAATTAGAAAATATTTTCCAAAGTTATCAAAGAAGAATCTTGGTATAACTTTCAAGTTAGAAGTTTCAGGAGATGTCAATCTTTTGACCCATCCTATTTGAATTGCTTCAATTTGTTTTACAATGTCTGTCATATTTAGACCACCTTGTAACATTTGGTTACATAATACTGTTCTTTTCACTTTTTCTGTTCGATTGTTCCAATTGAAATCAAAAATAATTTTATTAAATTGTGTTAAATGATCCTTATCTATATTGGATACTGTTGCTAAATATGTAAAGTTTAAGATGATGAGAGTTTCAACAACAGTTGTTCGACCTATCATCGTTAGATTTCTTTTCTTCTAAGTGTTTAATATTTTTTTCAGATTTTTGGAACTGTTTATCAAAATTCAGCTTTTGGCACTATTTTGTATTCAATCCAAAATATATTCCTACAGACTTAATTGGTCCATTTGTCCAATTAATGTTGTCAAATTTGTCTATGCTGTGTTTTTGTTTACCTTACCATATTCCTTCAGTTTTTGCTCTATTTAGTTTTAGACCTGAGAATGTCCAAAATTTGTCTATTACATTAAGTATTTTAGATATTTCCTTTTAATTTTTTAGAAATAAGGTTGTGTCATCTGCTAATTGTTATATTTTGAGACTATGAGATTTTTCATCAATTTTTATTTCAAACTCTTTGATAATAGAATCTTGTCTAATTTTACAGGCCAATATTTCTACAGCTATTACAAAAATTAGAGCGCTGCAAGGCATCCTTGTCTAATGCCTCTAAAATTAGATGTGGGTTCTGATATCTAACCATTATTCGTAACTGAGCATTTAACATCATTGCAAATAGTTTTAATCCATTTTAAAATTGATTTTTGAAAGCCACATTTTTGTAACGCTGAATACATAAATTCAAGTGAGAAGTCTAAAAATAACAAGGCTCCTTCGATTTTAAATGATTCAGCATAATCTATGATATCCTGAATTTGTCTTACATTATACCCAATATATCGATTTGCAATATAGCCGTTTTGATCTGCACTAATACTTTTTAGTAGAATATTTTTAATTGTTTATGCTAGGGTATATGCAATCAGCTTTGTGTCAACATTTAGCAGTATTTTAGGTCTGTAATTTTTTTAAAAGTAATGGATCGTTTTTATGTGAATAAGGGAGATAATCCTCAGTTTTTGTGTTTCAGTTAATTCCCATTTTTCATACATTTAAATGTATATACTGCAAATTCTTTGAGCTCACCCTAAAAGGTTTGATCAAATTCAACACTGAAACCGTCTGATCCTGGATAACGGTTTGATTTCATCTTAAATAAGGCTTTTTTGCATTCTTCAATGCTTATTTCTCCCTCTAAGGTAAAACTTTCTTTTTTTGTTAACTTGTGGTCTATTTTAATATCTGCAATATATTCTTCAATTTGTTTTTTATTTGGATTAGAATATTAGTGCAATAAAGAATTTGTTAATGTTAATGTTAAAAAAAAACAGTTGGTTTCTACATTTAACACTTGGGAACTACATATACTTATGAAATGTCAAGGCATGGCATAGAAAAGACAATTTATTAGTATTCCTTGCATACACTTCTCATGAACAGTTAGTTCTAGTTCATACATGAAGCACTTGGAAACTACATGTACATATGGAAGGACAATTTATTAGTATTCCTTGCATGAATTTATTCTGAAGTACAATTAGTTCATACATGTAGCACTTGGAAACTACATGAACATATGGAATGTAAAGGCATGGCATAGAAAGGACAATGTATTAGTATTCATTGCATAAACATCTCATGAACAGTTAGTTCATACATGTAGCACTTAGAAACTACATGTACATATGGAATGTAAAGACATGGCATAGAAAGGACAATTTACTAGTATTCCTTGCATACACTTCTCATGAACAGTTAGTTCATACATGAAGCACTTGGAAACTACATGTACATATGGAAGGACAATTTATTAGTATTCCTTGCATGTTCTCATTCTGGAGTACAGTTAATTCATATATGTAGCACTTGGAAACTACATGTACATATAAATGTGAAGGTATGGGAAGGACAATTTGTTACTATTCCTGGCATGCTCTTCTAAATTACAGTTAGTTCATACATATAACATTTGGAAACTACATGTACATATGAATTAATGTAAGTCACGGCAAGGGAAGGACAATTTATTAGTTTTCCTTGCATGCACTTCTCATGATCAGGTACAGTTAGTTCATACCAAATATATTATAGACATGTTGCGAAACAAAATTGACATTTCTGAAACAAAACTGGCGGGAGTAAACAATACAATCAGAACAAAATCATATGGTCCTTCCTTGGACAAGTTGAAGACCTAATAAGTTAGCATTGCATGAAAAATAAGGCGCTCCAAATACCTGAATAACATCCTTCTTTGTTTTGTGGTGAATAAATACAGAGATTGATGATCCACCGGCAAACATAATTTGTCTTCCTGCAACAAGGCATGGTAATCGTGTCTTCTCTAAAAAAAGAAATGGAGGGACCAAAGGAGAAAAACGATCATGGTTCAAACAAAATTTGATATTTTCATATTATTGTACTCGTTTGAATGGCATTCGCATTAGCTAAAAGTTAATATTACGATACCCAAATAGTTGATAACTAATTAATAAGTTGCTGCTTTTGTTAAAATAATGTTTAAGTGTATTCTAAATGAAATTGAAGTCACCTTCATAAGCACAGTAAAAACTGAAATATTTTTAGAAAATTAACATATTTGTCCATGCAAAATAAATTTTACAGTATATGGTCGAAAACAAACTTGCAAATTCCATGACTTCGTCAACCAGTTTCTCCATATTGTCTTCTTTTGGTCGAGTTTCATCTCCTTGTTCAACTTTAGGGTGATCAGCAAATATTATAAACAAGCTGGGTTTAAAAGTTACTTTTTTTTCTTGTTTGATGTTTCGCCAAATTGTTACTTTTATCTACAAATATTCGACAATTCAATAACTGATATAAGAACTGAAGACTTTAAACATCAATATGGTCTTATCACGATTGGAATGACTTGGCTCATATTTGAATACTAAATTTCATCTGCAAAATTAAGTGCAAGCCGATTTTTTTTTGTATCGTGAACTACAAAATAATGCTGACCACTGTGATTTTTTACATTTGCCAACGTAGTCAGAATTTGCGAATAAGAACACAAATTGACGTTTTTAATTGCCGAATAGAACATTTTATTTTTGATTCAATTTCTATGAACAAGTCATGATTTTGTTATGTTGTGGTTGTCGTTGGGTACTGACTGCAAGTTTGCTTTCGGTTTTTATTTTGTTTTTTTTTCTTGTTTTTTTTTTTTTTGTTTTTTTGTTTTTTGTTTTTTTGTTTTTTTGTTTTTTTTTTTTTCATTTTGCTTTTTACATCTGTATACGGAATGGCTATTGATTATATTTGAAGGCTGTACGATGACCTATAAAATGCTATTTTTTGGCTGGTTTTACTAACTGGCGTTAAATAATATATTTAGCAAGCAATGACCAGATATTGAACATTTACCTTTTTCTTTGTTATGCTGTTATCAAAATCAACGTCAAAATATCCACGAAAATCTAAATAAAAATGAAAAGATGACAAATACTGATCGCATTATGCGCAATAAATTTTGATTGTCTAGGTTTTGAGTTAATTGTCAAGTATATTTTGGGGTGGAAGACACTAGTAAACGAATATAAGTCTTAAAAGCTAACTTTGATCTGTACAGCTATTTAAAGACTGAACAATACAATATAATGTAGTTTTCAATTATTTATCAGACTTATCCATTGCATTAAAATTAGTTTTGTTCAGATTATTCGCTTGCAGTCAAAAAAGATCTGTTCAGTCTTTATCTAGACTGTTCAGCAGTTGTTATATACATGTTAAGATCAACAACATACTGTATTTACTGAAACATTAATGAACAGAACTGAGTTGTCTGTATAAGTATTGTCTGACTGGTACTGAAGTTAAAGGAATCGAGGAATCTGAAACTGACATGACTTATTAATTTATCGTTCAGTTTTTTTTTCAGATGAAAAGATTAAAACGACCGTTTTAGACTAAAAGTTGTTTACAAGTGAGAGCAAAGACACATTAAAATGAAAGGGTAATCAACTAAAAGAAAGCTTTTTGAATTTTTTTTTTTATGTTTTTGGAAAGTCAATTTTTACCACAAAAACAAAGATGAAAATTTCAAGAGACGAATTTTGTCTTTATGCACGCATAATGACATGATTCTGACATCATTACATTGAACATCTTCCTTTTGGATTTATATGTTTTACTGTTATGCATTTATTTGCATCATGCACAAATACACCTTGTTGTAGGCTCTCTGTATGTCGTAACAAATTATAACGATATTTTTAGATATATGTTGACATCAAAAAAAAATAATAGAAAATCCTTTTCATGATAAAAAAGTACACATTTCTGGACACCTAGACAAATATCAGAAGTTATGTTTCATGTTTTGGTATTAAAGATTTAAAAGATACATGTTACTCGTAAAAGGTTGTTTTGATTGGCATGATATAGCCTTTACTAAAATTGTTACATATCTATTATCGTTTTCGACGACCATCTTAAGCTTTTCTGCGATAGCTTTTGATCTATCAGCTTAGAAATGGTAATTTGGAAACTATTATTCAAACAAAGAGTGTGCTGGAAAAAAAATGCATTCAGTATTTTATTTGTAATGGATTATGTTTAAATACAAGGATTCTATAGTTGATTTAACAAGTTTTGGAACGAATATGTTTTTGTAGGTTTTGGTAAATTTCGAAAAATAGCTGTAACTATTTAGGTCATTTCGACTGTTGCAATGTTTTTTTTTTTTATTTTATAAGTTGGTTAAAATGTTGTTACAGTTTAACAACACTTTACTGATACATGATGATCTTGATGTATAGATTCTAGGTACTGACGTTATCATCCTAACTACGTGTTATAGTGTTCTTTTATTTGTCGTTGTAAATTATTAACCTTTACTGTTTATTCCATTTTTGGTAATATCCTTTTGGCGTGGCTCGGTACTTATACATCCCGTCATTGTGACATATTATGTCTGTTTCATTTGTTCACACATTGTTGTCAATTTAATGGAATTTTATGCGACTGTCATACAAGTGAGGGGATTAGCTAGCTATAAAACCAGGTTTAATCCACCATTTTCTACATAATGAAATGCCTGTACCAAGTCAGGAGTTCGGTATTTTTGTTATGTTACTTTTTGGTGTTGGTATTGGTATTATGCATGTTATGTATGTACTAACTTCTAAAATACTAATTTAGTATATGATAAAATTAACTGAATGGAGTAAAGTAAAGTAAATAGGCGAAGCGTTCGTGTTGGAAAAGTTTAATTAGAAAAATAAAGGGAATAGCCTTACTGCAATTAGAAAACATATTAATAACAAGATATATGTATAATTTAGATATATTTCTTACCTTTTCCTAGGATCGGAAGATGATCATGATAAACATAAAACCAAAACCCCTCTGTGCTTTTCAATTCCAGTAAATCATGTGTACTTGCAGTTTCATGTCGGCTCTCATTTCTCACTAACCAATTTACTTCGACCTCGCTTCTTCCATTGTCCATTTGGCAATTACAAATTTCTATTACCGTTCCCGTTTCTTCAATTGGTTTTGTTTCGTCTAGAATAAAATCAACCATTAAAGGCTTTTTATTGATCTTAAAATTGATGGTTTTATCGTCAATAGGTAGTGTTTACAAGTTGACCTTTCAGTTATCATTTAGGACTGGACTCGTGTTAAGGAAAATTAGATTGAAAAGTTGCCTATTTATTATTTGTATCACAGCATAATTGAGGCAATTGCTTAATAAAATACATAAACACAAAAGAGGGAACCAAAGGGGAGGACTGGGAAATCGTTTCTTCAGTGAATGAATGCATACAGTGTTTATATATAAGTAATTGAGATAATTTTCGATTTATAGTTTGGATCAGTTGTAAACTCTGTCAAAGAACTGTTTTAAACTTTTCTACAAAATGTAGAACAGTTCTTTCCTTGAACTATCTTATATAATGAAACATATTGTTTTAGTATTATTTTTGATAAACATGTACGTTAATAACAACGGGAAATGAAACTAATGCAAAGATATCTTCAAATTGATAATTATTTTTGACAAAAATGAACAAAACGTTTTAATCATAAAAAGTAACATTCAATTTGGTATTCAAGAATATTTTTAAATAAAAAAATACAATATTTAAATATATAATGAATTGAAAAATTGAAAACTGATCAAAAAAATAAGTAGTGCAATAAAAGAATAATAAATGATAAAAAGACATGAGCATTTATATCGTAGATGGCCCTAATTACTCCTTCATACCATAGTTTCAATTAGAGAATTAATTTTTACAGTAAAATAATTATATAACGGTAGTAAAAGCATTCACTTACCTGCGGTTTCTTTCTCAAATATCTAAACAGAACTTAACATGACTGAAACAGATAATCTCGCCAGCTAAAAATATGTTCCCAAAAATATATTAGCATGTTCCATTCATTAAAAAAAATGATTAAGCTCAATAAGACCGTTTCAGTATCAACTACCTAAAGACAAATCATCTATAAATACCTTTTTTTTCTGAAATGCGTGAGGAGTAAGAAAAATAAATTTTCGTTTAGTCATTCATTATATGAGTATGCAGTGCTTTACCATAATTCTGATCATCAAATTCAACCACCTTTGCACCCTTGAAAATTCCAAACGATTGAACCCTCTTCGAATTTTCTCTAGAAAATTTGGAATCTGAAGTTTGTTCCCTGAAAAAAATTAATAAATATCTAAATTGCATCAATCATACAACTCTCACTCACATTGCATATATGTCAAGTTTAAAAATAAATCTTACAAACATTGGCTTGATCAATAAAACGCATACATATCTTTTAAAGGGTATGAAATGTCTCGAGTTTTATTCGGAGGGTCTTTCAAAACCTGAAACAAAATAATTGATTCAATGTTTATGAATCTTTTCAAAAATTGGAAATAGAACAACATACTCATATTTCCTTTGAACTGTTTTTCAGCTAATTTTTAAAATATTTTTGTTTTCTTAATTTAAGAAACTTGGAATTGACAGCATATATATATATATTATATTCGTAATTCATTCACAACGCTTCTAGACTAGAGATGATAGAAAAGATTAATAGCCTGGCATAGTGTGTATATGTGTATTTATGTTAATAAAAAAACATGCCAAAAGGACAGTTAATAAAAACAAAAAGAAAGCATCAGTTATCAAGTATTTCACATTTTAATGCAGGTCAAGTTATTATAGGCATTTCCTTCTACTTTAATAGATATAAGACGTGATAACGAAATTTTGACTTTATGAATATGTAAATGACAACAAAAATCCAGAAACTTACAGTTCGTATTTGATATTACACAATTATTGACTTTTGATTAGAGTGATACAATAATGTATTAACCCCAGTGATAAGATATTCCCCCAAGGCCAATGGTTTTATTATATGTCTTTTTGTATCCATCTCCAGTTTTCTACAATTTGCTGAAGACTTTTAACTGCTTTGGCAGTTGCTAACTTATATAAGTTGGAACATTCAATCAAATTTACGATAAAGAATTAACATAGCAAAAAAAGAGGAAGAAAACGACAATGTGTATGACGTTATAAACCTATGCATTGATGTTGCCTAGGAAATAATTTTTTGGGTAAACTTTAGCTGTTCCAAATCATGTACACACCTTACATTTTTATTATCAGTAAATATAATGATTTGCACAAGAAGAATCTCTATGCTTTTAGACAATTAGAAAATAGAACATTTAGAGTCATACTTTTGTCTTCACCAGAGGAAAGATTTATACCCAAAGCGATACATTGCTTTTTGGGGTCTTTAACAAAGAAAAGAATGAATTTTAGATATATTAACAACTTACGATGGTCCCGACTTTGAAAAGGACATAATAGGCGTTCAGAAAGGTATTTTAATCAACTGATTTCAGGTTCGTAAAGATCAGGACAGAAAACATTCTAAATAGATAATATTAACTGAATTTGTCAGAATAAAGCATATGATTTTTTTTATTTTGAATGTTTTATAATCTGATTCAAATGAAAAAAGGGAGAAGTGCAAATTGAATGACCGTAGACTGTCAATGTGGCAGACATCCAAGGACACAAGCAAAGCACAAATTTCACCTGGCGGTCACTTTAAAAGCAATATACAGGTGTCTACATAATGCGATAATGATTGTTGTTATCAGAGTAAAGAATAGCTTGTATCTAAATAATTTAAGGGACAATGATATTTAGAAGATGTATTAGAATATTTTCGGGTGAAATGTACCATATCAGCATCTCATTTACCGTAACATTTTGAACAGGTCCAATTTTATCTTTATTTTAGTTGAAAAGAAGTTTGAAAACAAATAAAGTTGAAAATGTAAATCTTTTGTTCACAGTGTTTAAAATATTGCAGAAGGATCCCAAATCAGAGAATCGTAAGTGTTTAAGGTTTACAGATTTATGAGTAATACCAGCATGTTCTTGGTCAGAACAAAATCGAGAGTCTTTCCGCGGTGAGCAGAAAGACCTAATTATCAGTATGAAATAAGCAAATCTTTATTCAAGTCATGATCAAATGTTCTTTCTAATATATGCAGACGTAGTATCATGTCAAATGAGACAACTATCATAGATTCTAATGCAATTTTTATGTAACAATTTTTTTCATTGGCTTAAAGTTACCGTCAAATCCACAGTTCACCAGTCGTAACTAAGGAGCGACCCGCCATTTTGAATTCATGGATCAACAAATGTTCGATTACTACAATATT